CTGTTGTAAACACTCGTTCCTGTCTTGGGACAGCATGTTGCAGAGGGGAGGCGATGGATTGCTCTCCCACTTACTGAAACAACAGAGAGTTGTGTTATTTTGTTAATATCTTCATAAAGTTGTAATAAAAATTACTTCTGTTTTTTCTCAGAGCTGATGCAGAGTTGCCTTGGTGAAGGTGCTGGGTGCCTGCTTTTTGTTACCGAGGTTTTTGGGGGACTTGCCATACCTCATAGGAAAGCTGGATGTGCTTGTTCCTCCCCAGGATGTGCTAGTTCCCATACCGAGGGTAGAAACGCAGGTGCTTAACAACTCTTTGTGGTGTAGTCAAAGAATTTCTAGAATACAATAGTAGGAGGAAGCAGAATAAACAAGCTGTCGATTAGTGGCTAAGAAAAATACTTTCTGTGAGCAGTCTGCAATTTTAACTCTGATTAGTAAAATCATAGCTGTCATTTTAACTTGAGGATGCAAAAAGAAGCCTTTAAAATGTAAGCGGAGGAGGGAAGGAATGGGTTGGGACAGGTCTGGCTCCAAGCTGATTTTAGGGAGTTTTTTCGTATTCAGAGTTAACTGATAGAAAGGTGGATTCTGCTCATTGAAGAACTTGGTTGTAAATTGTACAGAAGTAGCTTGAATGGGTGTCATTTAGGGATAGAGTTGTTCCCTGCGGTGAGGAAGCACCACTTCCCTTCCAATGCCGCTGACTCAGGCCCGTGGTGGGAGCGTGAGAGCTTCCCGATGCCCACTAGCCAGGGCAGCCTGGTCGTGCCTGAGGAATAGGGGCAAGGAAAACAAAGTGTGCAGAAATGGCACTTTCGCATGCTCTTGCACCACATAAGTTCACTCTGCTGCTTCTGTAACTGCCTCGGTCTGCCGTGCGCTACGGGCTTAGGCCTTCTGGTTGATTCATTATATAAGTATTGTGAGATAGGATCAAAGTAGTGACGGATCTCTGATGCATCATTTAGCATGAAGCAATGCAGCCGATGAGTCCTGTAATTACTTTGGGCAGCCATTTCTTTTACTGCTTTTCTTAAAGTCTTTAAACAGCGTTGTATTATGAAATCTCAAGCCGAATACATAAATGACTCCAGTTTGGCTTTTACTGCAGATGTTAACAGTTAGTTTAAAATAAAATCAGTATTTATAAGGAGCAGAAATACTATCACATCTTTTTAATCCTGTGTTAAGAAACTGTAGCTTATAATTTCCTGCTTATTAAAATGCAGTGCCCATAACTCAAAATTGGTGTTGCAGCCCTGTTGTGAAATAGTTTTCAGTGACAGGCCTTTTTGAATCCCTGTTCTTCCTATCTCCCTTCTGACTGACGCCCCCTCCCTCAGTTTTTGGCTTTGGTTTTCATGTTTCCTGTCATTTAAAGAAGGAAAGAGGAATAGGAGGAAAATAGGCTAGGGTGATTTTTTAACTTCACGGTCCTTGAAGGTGGACTCCGTTGGGAGTATGCTGGTGGTGCTTTTCAGTTGTGCTGGAGGAGGTTGCTACGGAGCAGTATACAGCATCCTACTGTTTGTTCTCACATGTTTAGCGTGCTGTCACCTCTGTCTGTGGAGACCAGAGATTGGAGGCAAGAACCAATTCTCCCTCCCCCATCCTCCCCCCACAAGCTTTCAGAGGTTGTTAGGCTTTTGTTTAGGTCACAAACTAAAACTAACGGTCCTTTTTGCTGTGAAGTTTTCATAGGTGAATTGGAAATTTATCCCACAGACAAATTTACAAAATAGAGTGCTCTCTTGGGAGATCAAATTGCCTAGCCTCTTGTTAAATTTCTTTTCCTTCTAATTTTGCTTTCAGGTCTATGCTATATCTTCATACCGCTTTGTGCTATATGCAATATGGGACATCTTTTGTCACACACGTAATGATTCTTGTTACCTTACTGTCAGATGTATCCTTGAAATATTCTTCTGCAACGTTTTTGTCATTTTCTAGTGTTATTTCTGAACCACTGGTAGTTCCAAGCAGCACTGAGGCCCTGTTACAAATATTGTGCAAACACGGCCTATCAGCTAAAATAGTACTACTACTTTGAAAAGAAAGCTCAAAAGGACAGAGTGGAACAGTACAAATAAAGATTTATTTGGCTATCTAATTGCAATGCTGCTGAAGCTTTCCTTGGTAGTTACAAAGAGTAGCTGGATAATTGGGCATGTGTGTGACAGACCAGTATGCTCTTGGGCTTCAGCACTGTCTGTTTTAAAACCCTTTAGGCATCTGTTTAATGTTCTCAGGCTCCTGAACCAGCTCATTATCTTAAACATACTCACCCCAAGAGCCCCAATGTCACTTAAAATTTACACAGGGTTGTATAACAATTGGATAACACGATGCACATATGCTTTGCACAGATTGCTAACACAGTTACCCCTGTTGGTGGAAGTGGTACATGTACCAAAATGAATGAGTTATCTGTATTTTCTTCATGATGCCAGAGTGGTGTTTGGGATGTGGCTGCGTGCTAAGCAATTTGGGGGCTTTTCTCTTTCATGCTTGTGCAACATTTTTGTGACTGGGAGATTGTTTGGTCTGTTCCCCCCACAAGAAGCTGGTGAGGCTCCATCTCAATTATAAGTCAACCCATTTGTCAAGGGACCTCCTAATCAGTATCTTCTGATGAGCAGTCTTCCATTGTCATGTGATGGCTGATAAGTTACTGGTTCACCAGGCAGACTAGTTCTCCTGGGCCATAGCTGGCTTTGTCTTGAAGGTGCCTCCTTATGGCTAATGAATTGTTCAGTTTTAGTCTGTTGTTGAGCCAGTGCTCTTAAAACATTGTTTCTAGAGACAGGGGATTCTTGCTGTGCTGCCAACACTGACTCCTAACAGCGTCATGAGGCAGTGTCCAAGATAGAAAGACTTCTAGTCTCTGAGAAAAGGTAGATGTGTAATCAAAGGCAGTCATTCTCCGTGTACTGAAGCAAGCTGCTTTGCACTTTTCAAACTATTTAAAATACCTGAATATTTCAACTTAGTCTTCCTGGATCTTGGTCTTAGTACCAGATGAGATGAGACACTGTAGATACCATTTTTTTTCCTTCCAAATATGTAACTTCAGTAAAAACATTGCCCTTTTTGGAGCAAGGCAATGGGCAAGCTGATCTCCTGTGGTCATTTCCAACTTAAATTATTCTGATATTTTAAAAATCGGATGTGAACTTCTGCAGAGCATAAATTAAACTCTTTAGCGAATCCCCTTTTCTGTGTTTTATTAAATCTACATTTGGAATATGTGTTAAAGTTGTTCTACTGTGTTTCATTTATAGATCACTTTCAACACTGGGCTTGGTTATATCATCACTTGCTGACCAAGCAGCAGGGAAGGGGAAAAACAAGTTTGTGCCTTACAGAGACTCTGTACTCACTTGGCTTCTCAAGGTAATTAATATTTTCCGTTCACCCCATTCACAAGATGTTGGCTTAATAGTTTGTAGGATCATTGTAGCATACCTCTGTGTATGTGGACTTATCGGGTTTTTTTTGTTTGTTTGGTTTTTTTAAAGAAAGGAGCTAAGGAGCTCTCAAGGCTATAAGTTGTTCCAAATAATACAGACAGCTAAGTGTATCTTGTGTTAATTCTATGTAAAGTCCTATTTGGCTCTTTTCAGTTATAGTGGAATCAAAGCTGGTGGAGGTGGCTGGAATTGTTCAGGGATCATGTTTGCATTCAGAGTACCTTTCAGTGTTTAAATAGTAACCTTTGTATTTTAAGTATCTTTGTAAAGACATTGTGTAGTCTCAGAAGAATTTTTAATCGTCAAACTTTCTGTGGATGCACTCTACAGGACAACTTGGGAGGAAACAGCCAAACTGCCATGATAGCCACAATTAGTCCAGCAGCAGACAACTATGAAGAAACACTCTCTACTCTGAGATATGCAGACAGAGCCAAAAGGATAGTTAATCATGCTGTGGTGAATGAAGATCCAAATGCTAGGGTCATCAGAGAATTACGTGAAGAGGTTGAAAAACTGAAAGAACAGCTCTCACAAGCTGAGGTAACATTATTCATAGTACAATGTAAACTGAGTTTCCCAAGGAAATGTCAGACTCTGGCTGGAAGACTAGCTTTCTTACTAAGTCTTACAAAATGAGAAAAGGAAGTGTCTTGCACTTTTTTTTTTTAAATAATTAACCTGTTTCCTGAAATAAATCCAACATAATGTTCGCTTATTTTTAATAACTTTTAAATGAGGACAACATTGTCCTGATGATGACCCTTGTCAAAATAGACTGTTCATGAAGAACTTCATGTCAAGCAATAATTGATGCGGCACAGGTAAGAGCTAGAGTACAACTTCATTCTGTAGACTTACTAGCAGAATTTTTTTTTGCATTGGTGGACTATATAATTTTACGACATCAAATGGAAAAGTGTGAAAAGCTGTAAATCTGGTATTGGACCACAAAATATGCGGGATGTTTCTCTCCTTGACACTTGTGAAAATCTGTAAAAAATTGTCAAAACTGCAACAGCAAAACCATCAGCAATTTGCTTTACTGCCTTAACAGTTAACACTGTGAGATTGCTGCTTATCTTAGATTTACACTTCTAATTGGAGAGTAAAGTATCAGGGTAGGATAGTTTACTTGGTGATATCTGAAGAAATTAGGCACTGTACTGTAGGAAAATATTTTTGATCTTTTTAGGCAAGACACAAAATACTGGTGGAAAAAGAACAGAAGTGTGTCTGAAGGTAAACTTGTGTGGTGTTTAAACTTCACATTCATTTAAGGAATAATGTTCCTTGTATGAACAGTTCCTTACAGGCTGAAATGGGAAAATCTGCTTTAAGAAAAAGGAGCCATTCACTTTTTTTGTAAATAAAAATCTGTTTTAATCCCATATTTAAATCAGAAAATATTATTGTAGCATGTTCTTAATTATGTTGGCAGACTGTGACTGAACACAATCAGTAGGATGGTGTCCAAAGTCTTACAAATTTTTTTTAAAATGTTTTTTCTCTTATACCTTCTGTTAAAAACAGTTATATAGAGTTATAGGCCAGCCTGTTGAATGGTTACTTGGGACTGGATGCATTCAAACCCTTTGCTTTTGTTTCCTATTGTGAAATGAGAAGCCTGTGTTAGCTCCAGAGCATGCCTTCCTTCGAAGGTAGTCAACATGGTCAGTCTGAAAGCTTTAATGCAACTCTAGGAACACTTACGAAACCAAGATAGAATGGAAGGCTCATTTTCGAGAGGAATTTGTATTTGAAACTGCTGTTGGAAGAAAGACTTCGCAGTTGAACTTCAGACAGCTAAGACTTAAAGTTTTTAAATATTCAGATATTTTTATACAGACACTGAAGTTTGAGTGGCCAGGCCCAGAGATTTTGTTGGTTCCATTAGCCTCTGGAGCTATGTCGATCTTCAGCTATTTCAGATCTGGACTCATTATAGGTTGATTCTGTCCTCTTCCTTTGCAAGTCACCTGTTTCTTCATCTTCTGCCATGGAAAACCTGAGGATATAGTTGAAATCTATACTTGTTGCATTTCATATTATGTTGCTGTGTTCAGTTTCCTTGTGCAAGCAGACATTGCAGTGGGAAGAGTAGCTGAAGGTTTTTGCTAATTTCTATCTTTCAGGCCATGAAGGCACCGGAACTGAAGGAAAAACTGGAAGAATCTGAAAAACTAATAAAAGAGCTAACAGTCACCTGGGAAGAAAAGCTAAGGAAAACGGAAGAAATTGCACAGGTATTTCAGAAATTTTGAGGAGGAAAGGCCAGATACTCATATAGTGCAAGTCAGCTGAATTTCATGAGCTTGAGTGAACTGTGCTGTCTTCCCCACCAGCTATTTAGAATTCCTCTGGATTTTTGTCTTTTCCCCTGGTTTCTGGGTTTTTTTTTTAAAGTCTAAATTTCATTAGAATAAATGTAGCTGTGTCAGGATATCATTGATTAAAGCCAATACTTGATTTTAAAATAAAACATCAAAATATGGTTGGGCAGCTCATTTATTTATAAGACCACAGTGGGATCTTGGATGTGTTTCCCTTAAAGTGACTAAGAAAATGAAGAGTTACGGAAGAATCAGAATTTTGGGCGGTATTTGTTACTTTTGCTTTTAGTGACGACTTAACCAGAAAAGGAAAATGTGTACGTGTATTCACTAATGTTTGTACATTATTATTGTATTTAAAATAAGACTTCCAGTGTACTTTTCTATCATTTCCATCTATAGCTTGGAGAACGAGTATTGTTGGTTTTCCTTTCCGGTCCTAATGTTTGAGAAGCATGCTTCGGTGTAACCACTGTGTTTAAATAATAAAAAAAGAAAGGTGGGGGGGAGGAAACCAAACCAAACCCAACCAGCCAAACAAAAAACCCCAAACTGTAGCAAAGCAAAAGACGTGTGATCGAGTAGATGCTTTAGCTGAATTAATAAGAACACTGCAAAAGAATAAACCTAAACTGTGGCATGCTATTTTCTAAATTATCTACGGCTATGATTATCTTTGAAATAACTGCAACTGAGACTAGTTTTTAACTAACGTAGAGGTTCAAAGCCACATTGTGTTACTTACAAGTAGCTCTAATAAAATCAGTAGGGCTGCTTAGGTAAGCAAGTGCTGCTTTGGGGAAGGAGGTGTTTGAGGATTAGATCTAACTTTTTATTGTTCATGAGTAAAAATAAATTCCGTTAAACATATGGTACTTTACCAATGTCTTAAGTTCTGTTTCTGGTAGCAATATACAGAATGAATGTTCAGCATGCGCATCTTCACTTTTAGTTGCTCTGTTTTCATTTACTTGCTATACTTGTCTCTACATATTGCAGCAGGCAAGATTAACCTATTTTTGTGCTTGCAGGAGAGGCAAAGACAGCTAGAGAGCATGGGAATTTCCCTTGAGTCTTCAGGTATCAAGGTGGGGGATGACAAGTGTTACCTGGTGAACCTGAATGCAGACCCTGCGCTCAATGAGCTTTTGGTTTACTATTTAAAGGTAAGAATGTGAACAGGATGTTTACACAGAATGAAAGGACACTTGTTTATTATTTTAAATATCTGTCTCAATTTGTTATTCAGAGTGTATCTAGATTTTTTAAGACTAGTTGCAGCAAAATAGGATAGGCCTCCTCCTACTGTTCAGGCTTTTGTTCTCCCTTTGCAGTTCAGCTTCATTGTTTTCCTAATTCATCTCCTGATTGCCAACAGTGGGAGAAGTGCTCGGCGTGTGCCAGTGTTGAGATAAATTCTAGGTTTTCCAGACAGGATGTGAATAGAATTGCCTTTTGGACTGAACTTGAAGTGAGAGCCTTGTGTCAGATGCTTCTTTTTGTTAGTGAACTGAGGATTGCTTTAAATATTCAATGAGTTAATCATAAAGAGATGATGTTTAGTAGTAATCAGTAAGAGTAAACATAGTCTTTGACAGAAAAGCTTAAGAAAAAGAGAAGGGGGGGGAAAGCACTGTTAAAAATTTACAGAAATGTATTTTCCTAGTACCGCTAGCTTTCATACCATTCTGTTCAGCATAGTCTCGTGTCAGAGTGAAATAGTGTCAAATACAAACCTAGTAAGTTTGTAAGGAAATGTGAGCTCCTTGTCAATAAGATATGAAAGAGTATCCTGTCTATTTTTATAGTTGTGCTTTAGTGGCTGAGATAGGGCTTCTGTATTTGAACAGTAGCAAATAAAGCAAAACTTCTCTAACAACAGCAAAGTAAAGTATTTCAGCAGAATTTACAATACAACTTGAAATTATGTAGAGATTAGTATGTTTAGTTGATTGCTGTATAGCTGTTTTCTGAAAGGCAGTCAACTCTGCACCTTGTTTTACTATCCATGTTGCCCTCTGTTATATACACCTATATGACATGGCTGGTTTTCTTCACTATTTGCATTTATTGCTTGCATACAAGCATGGTCTGAGGATATTTTAAAATCAGAATTTGTGTGTCGACTGCTTTATTTTGCTTTATCTAAAACTGTATGAAGATAAAGTGGAGAGCCGAAGAACAGTTTGTGTGTGACCTTTACAGTCTTCAAATCTGCTGTGGCACCATTTCTGCTCTATAGAAGTGCTTAGCAAAGGAGAGCACGTAGATTGTGCAGTCTCAGTGCTTCAGCTAATATTTTCTTAGTTATCTAAACAGTGATAGTTTGCTTGTCTCTTAGTAACAGCTTATTTTCTAGGATCACACAAGAGTTGGTGCAGATACCTCTCAGGATATACAGCTCTTTGGTATAGGAATCCAACCAGAACACTGCGAGATTGATATTGCGTTAGATGGAGAAGTTACACTCACACCAAAAGAAAATGCAAGGTAAGGAAGATCAGCAGCACTTTCCAGTGAAGTATTTGCTTTTCTTTACCAGAAGATAACTTGCATGCATTTTTATTTTACATAGTCAGAAGTATCTTACATTCTGATCAATGAGTAGCTTCAGTATAGTGACTTAAACGGATACTTAGAAGTGAAATTCAGCAATAAAGCTGAGATTTCCCCACACGTGTACACACCCACCCCCTCTGCAGCATAACAGGCTATCAGTGGTTTGGCTCAGAATAAACCGTTGCAAGAAGGTATTCAGTAGGAATGAGGGACCATTGCTTGTCTGTATATTGGGTGGTAGGAGGATCACTGAGACACTGCTGGCTATCCTGACCCGTGCAGTGGGACAATAGACTGCCTTGATGGGGGAGGATAAATTGTGCCTCGTGAGTAGTTCCTGTTGTAAAGCTCAGTATTTTGTGAGAGAGAGGTGTTTTAAAGATCTGAAGATCTTTAAATTCTTTTCTAAATCTTTAATTACTGTTGTGTCTAGTAAATGTGCAGTGTGAAGTCACGTTTCTCCTTTTGTTTCTACTTCCGTATTTTAATTATTTTTCATTTTGGGGGCACTGTGGTCTCTTGGGGTGGAATTGTAGATGTCTTTGTCACTTCATCTTCAATGGCAAGTGATAAGCAGTACCTTTGTCCTAGTTGATAGTCATGTTGCTTGACTGAAATCTGAATATCTAAATAATGTGTAGAATAGTATTAGAATGAGAAACAGAAGTTTGAGAGACACCTTTTAAAAAAATCCGATCTCTTTCATTCTGCCTTCAGTAAAATACCTCTTAGCGTTTGCATTTTTCTTCTGCAGCCTACAGTGCAAAATTTCAAACAGATGGGATTCAGACTTGTGGTGATATAGTTACTGTACTGGAAATCAGTCATTTTGACTGGCAAGAACCAAAGGCACATGTCAGTGGAAAAAACATACTTTTGTTTTACTCGTGCCTGATCTGCAATGCTTAAGTAGCTGTTCTTAAGATACTGGTGTCAACAGAAATTTAGTTACCAGAATTTAATTGGGGGAGGGGGGGAAATAATCTGGTTTTAAATCAATTGCTTACATGTCTGTGTTGACTTACTTGAGAGAGATGGCTGAATACAGAACACTGCATCTGAAAAGGCTTTTTTCATTTTACTTAAGTTTTTTTCCCTTTCAAATAAAATGTTCTGCTTTTTTTTTTTCTGACTCGTATATGCAAAAGTTCAACAGCTCCATTTTTCCCATTTTGTGATTGAAACTTAAATACAAAGAAACCTAAATGCAAATACAGCAGTATACCAGATGTTCACAAAAGTAGACCCTTGTTAATAATAGAGACTCCATTTGCTGAAAGAATGAAACTTCGATCTAAGGGTCTTTTCTTACGCGTGAATGCTGAGTACGCTAACAGTATGTTTTACAACTGTGTGTTGACTAACTTATATCTTTGAGAGTTTTATCAGTGGGATTTGCATGCAACCAAGTTTACAGGCTGTTCATAAGAAGCAGGCAGTGACCCAGTTTGAGAAATGGGCATTTAAAGAAAACTGTGCAATTAAAAGCAACCTTGTCTGTATATTTAATGAAGAGTTCTATCAGCCAAAGCTGGAGGGGAAAGGTGCTTTGTGTTTAATTCTGACAGTAGAAATCAGACAAGTAACTTTCCCGTTGATTCTTTAGTGAGAACCTAGCAGATTTGTGCATCATATGATACAAATCACTGTCTGTAGATGGGAGAAGCAGTAGATCTTGTAGTTACTTTTCAACCTTTTATTTTTAGGATTTCACTGAAGTTGTATTTTCTTCTTGCAGATCCTGTGTAAATGGTGCACTGGTATGTTCTGTCACTCAGTTATGGCATGGAGATAGAATATTATGGGGAAACAACCACTTTTTTAGGTAATAGTTGATATTTATATTCCGGCCTCTTTACATTCAGCCTATTTCTTTTTTCTTCCACTGTTCTGCATAAACTTTTTAGCAACTGAATTTCAATTTTTACACAGAATCAATTTACCAAAGAGGAAACGACGAGATTGGCTGAAAGACCTTGAGAAAGAAACTTCATTAGGAGAGCATGATCTGGATGCAGCTAGTGAAGCTTCTTCAGAACCAGACTACAACTATGAGTTTGCACAAATGGAAGTTATTATGAAGACACTGAATAGTAATGGTAAGGCAGCTGGTTCTTTTGGATTGTCTAAAAAATTCAGCATGGAACGTAATTTCTGGATAAAGCAAGTGGTACACTTGCTCCAGGGGCCTTTGGAGCATTTTCAGAAAAAGATATTTTACAGAAACTAAATTAAAAAAATATATGCACCTAGGTATAAATACAGACACACACACAAATTAGTAGTTGGTTTGTGCCCTGACAATGCAATTTTATCTGTACATCTGTCCTTTATAGTGCAGCTGAGTTGTAATCATCATGTCAAATCATCATCTAATTCCTACTAACCTCTTGCTTTTGCAAGTTACTGCAGACAAAAGGGTGCTCCAGGTATGGCTCAGTTAGTTTCATCCTTCCTTTTGTATCAAATATTACTGATACCATTTTAACCTTAGTAGAAAAACGCTGAAATGATAACAAAGCAATAGTCAAATGTCAGCTAGCGTGGTTTTTAATGCTTGATCACTCTCAATATTTTATTTAATCTTTGTTAAAACCTATTGTGATGCCTTTTTTTTTGGACAGCATAATAACATACAGTATATAGAAAATAATTGTATGGTGTATATATAAAATAATGTATGGTGTATATATAAAACAATGTGGTGTTTTCATGGTTTCCAGAAAGCGAGTCATAGTTCATATGGTATAATATGGTATGAAGAAATGCTGAAAAACTTGGCAAACTGCTGAATGCTTTGTACAGGTTTTTTTAATAGACAGAATTTGAGAGGCAAATACCTTGGTTTTTGGTCACTGACCAAGAAGACCCAGTAGATGGTGTTTCATTGCTTTCTGTTCTCTTTTCTTCATATCTTTGCAGTATTTCCATTGTTTGCTATAGTTTACTTGTTGAGATACACTATTAACTTTTTTCTTGGTCTCCTCTTATTCTTTAACTTTGTCTGATTTGCTCTTGAGTACAGTGTGATGGTTTCATATGCTTGGTACTCTAGCAATAGTTTGCAGGTTTTTTTACAGTTTGATATTAATGGGATTGCTTGTGTGAGTGAGTTACAGGGTGAGGTCATTTAAGTTGATGTGAAATTACTGTTTGATAACAGAAATATTCTCATTATGGTTCACTCATACCAGGAGACGAATTTCAGATGAATCTGCCATCCTGGTGGTCTTCAGTGTTGTCATCCCTTGTGAAGATTCTGTTACCTGTCTTAAGGCCTCAAACCATCCCGTATCTGTGCCAAAACTGGGACAAAGGTTTTGAACTCAATTGGCTCATGCATGAGACTGCTGGAGAAATTTGAAAGCATTAATCGATGTTTGATCTGCTTGTCACTAACCAGGGATTTGACTAAACTGTAGCTGTCTACAGTGAGTCAGTGTTCTTTGAATGGAGAGTCACGTTTTTTGGTTTTCATATGTTGTTATCTAGCTGATGGAAATGATTCTTCACAATATTTCAAGTGTCTTTACATTTTAGTTCTGTAGGCTTTTTAAATATAGATTGTGGTCCAGACCAATTTTTGTCTTGGTCAGTTGTTTTCTGTGTCTTTGTTCAAGAACAATACAGACCTTGCTGTATCATTAGAGCTCTTTCCTCCCTAATGCATGGCAAATGTTAGCAGTCATACGTGTCGCACAGTTTCAGAGGCATCATAACCCAATTATTCTGCTTCTTGTCTCTTCTGCTCCCTCCCACATAGGTGTTGCTTAACTAAGTTGGAGCAGTAAGTGGTAATAAAACCCTGACAAAACAAGTGACTGTGAGGATCATGGACTGGTCTTTTGATTCAAAGCCTGGTAGCGCTTCCAGGTTCTGTTCTTCTCAATGGTGTAGCTAAAATACAGGTTTTTTTTTAATGACAGGCTTCCAGTTTGTTGGGTGAGAAGTAAAGCAGCTTTGTTGCAATGCTGTTTATTTATTCTTCCTGAAAAAGAAAAATAAATATGGGTAAGGAAGAAGAAATAACTAAATAACTGAAGACAGTTAATTCTATTATCCATATTCTCTGGAGAAGCCCTAGGGAGGGAATAAAGAGGTGTCTTAAAAATTTTATTAGATAGTTATTTTATAGGCATGTATGGGTTTGGGATTTTTAATTCACATCAGTGGTTTGATACAGCCCAAAGCAAGAGGTTTTGATTTTCCTTTGTTTTGGTTTTTTTCCCCCTTGGTCTATTTGAGAACAGTAACCCTTTTTAAATAAATAGCCTAGCTTCTCCAGGGTGCAAACACATTTGTTTTTATCACATGTAACCCGTACAACAGTGTCACATATTGCATCCGGCTCCAGAGAAGCTCTGAGGAAAATGTGTAACTTTGAAAACAGCTGTAAAGAAAACATCCAGATTCTTTCCTCTCTTCAGCATGTTCACTTTCTTTTGGGGGATTCTGCCAGATCAGCTTTGTACCACTAGTTTGTGATGCTGGTCAAACACAGAATGCAGCAAAGAAGTTTACTTTATTCTTGTATACGGTGCAGTGGTTAAGTAAACAATGTGATTAGTTTATGCAGCTTCTTATTTAAGCAAACAAATCTGTTACAGCTCAGGGTGGGGATTTTGATGAAACTTAGCAAAGCAGCCTGTGTCATAACCTTCTAGCTTGCTTAGAAAAATGCACTTACATGAAATCTTAAGGAATTTATTCAGCATTGTTGTTACTGGATTAACAGATTCTAAATGTCAATTAAGTGACATTGCAGCAAGGTGATAAATGCTGCTCATCCTATGGAGAAAGTACATTCTTCTGGTTCAATGTTAATATTCTAACATTTTGCAGAGGATTAACTGCATATGAATGGTCTTCTCAGGGCCATTGAACTCGTCACGTAAATATGTAAAGAATTGGGACTTGGGACTTTTAACACTGTATGGAATTTGCTGTGCGTTTGGCAGGCACTGGGTAGAATCTTCCCTAATTTATTTGACTTTGCATGAGAAATCCAAAATTGTGGAACATGGTGTTTAAATCTAACTTAAACACTATTGTAGTTCTTTTGAATTGTGAAAAACTTGACTGTTTATTTTTTCATCTTCTAACTAGATGGTTTATAATTCACACCATATTTTGCTTTTTCACTGTGAAAGGCTTGGGGTTTTCGGTGTAAACTCTTTCAAAAGTTAAATCTAAGACTTTTCTAAAAGTGTAAATTTACCTTTTGCATTTCAATATAAGCATAACCCACCTTTTTTTCCCCCTAAACAGTAGTGGATTTCGTTGACATTGGGAATTTTTAGACTAGGTTCTTGCATCTTGTTCCAAATATTTTCCATGGTATAATTTGATCCTGTGGTGGCTGTGATTCTGTAAGTCTAGGTGGCTGAAAATATTGCTTTTGTTAAGGAAATCTGCTCCCTGAACTCGGAGCTGGTCTTTGAGCAGTTTAGGAAAGTCTTGTCTTAATGAGTCAGCCTTAGATTCATTTCCTGTGTTTGCAAACACAATAGAAGGCTTTTAATTTCTTCCATGCCTCTTCTCTATCTTCTGTGTAATGCCTGATTTCTCAACCATTCTTACACATAACTAAAACTGTTTTAGGGATTATGCAGTAAAACCTATGCATGTGAAGGTAATTCTGGTATTATCTGGAGGAGTTGGGAGGATAATGATGATGCAGATCAACATAATAACTTGGTTTGTTGTCTAGAATATTAGAACTTGGTTCAGTCAATTGTTTTTGTTGCACTGTCTGTTTAAAAGCTAAAAATAGCTAACTGTCTTTGTGAGAATGTCACGTACTAAAAAGTAATATTTCTGGTTATTTTAAGACACTTTTATGCATCACTGTTTTGCTATTTGGTTGCTATTTATACTGACTGATTTTTAACTTTGTGCTTTATGATTACCATCGTGGTGGTATTTTATGATGCTGTTGTGTGAAGCCGGTGATTTCTTCCATGGATAAGGCTAGGGCCACAGTAGCAACTTGCAGTAGTGTCTGTTTTCTGCTAAAAATAAGGATGTGCTTTACATAAATCTTAATATTTCAAAAAAGGATGCTGAGAGGCAAATACAAACCCACTGTAACAACAGAACCCTGGAGATCCTGTTTGCTTCTCTGGCACTTACAGTAGGAAGGATTTGTGTTATGAAGTGACTTGCCTCAATGGCCATGTATGTTAAAATTGCAGACAGTGAGCTAGTTTATCTTTAGCAAAATTGGTCTTGATAGTTTTAGTACTAAGTTGTTATAGATTACTAAATACAGTAATGCTACATTGGTTTGCGAAGATACAGGGGATGTGGTTTTTGGGAGAGTGTGTGTACGTGTTATGGTGACCAACAGACACTGCTAGTGATGAAAACCCTATAGAACCTTTCATGTGAATCCTCTATTGCATGCTATAGTAACCCAAATCTTGTTTCATGTGGCATTGTAGTATCAGGAAAACATGTACAAAATCTTACGAGGACTGAGTTTTGACAGCAAGATGGTTCATAACTAAATCGCACTGATGTGTTTTTTGGGTGGGTTTTTTTTTGAGAAGCACACCTCTAGTTCCAAAGTGGGACGGTGTAATTAAATCTAGATTTATTTTTCTCCCTCCTTTGTGACAGACTGGCATCCGTATAAGTCACAGCGGCTCTTTTTTCATTTATATTTGCAAAATGGAAGAGGTATCACAAACAATTATTTTAAAGCTGAAGTGTTCTGAATTTGAAAATCCTGGCATGTCCTAGAGCTGCAATGTTGCTTCCCCTAATAATCCACCACTCCAGCTATGGAACTCCTCTCCCTTCCCCTTCTGATGTACAGAATCAGCAATTTGTTAGGTGATGTGCTGTCACTCAGATATTCATCTAGATTGGTCTTGCAAACCACTTTTTTGCTGTATTTAAGCTTTCAGATGTATATACATGAAACAGATACATACTGGTAGTATATAGAAGGAGCTTATTGCATTGAATTGCCCTTTCAGAGGCACAGTCTGGCATTGGACCTAAACCCGGGAATAGAGAGAGTAATGTTTCTTTAATTTGAATGCAATTTAGGTTTAACTGTAGCTGATTGACACAAGCAGTTGTTGTTTTAGGATGGAGTATCCAAATGGATATTTGTTCTGGGTTGATACAGAGGTGAAATGTGTTTCGTAAAGCTAAATGCAGAAATCCCCTCCAGAAGGTACTTTGTCTGCTTCAGTGCTGTGAAGCATATTGGTGCAATGCGATGCGTGACTAGTCAGGCAATTTGTTTGTCTCAATTTTCATCTGCAGCTCTCCAACATGTTTCATTCTCTACCAAAATGGAGAAAGTAAATTGCTTTTTACTTCCGTAAGTCGTTTCCTTCTCTGGTTAACATCATCTTCCCTTGTATTTTGCTTTGTTTTCTTCTTATTAATGTGTCCCCTTTTCCATCTATTCTTTTTTTCCTACTGGGATTCTGGAACATACTATAACTTCACAGTATTAAAGTGTGCAGTAGACGAGGGTCTTCCCCATTGTTCTAGCCTCTTTGCATGCTGTATTTTTTTTTTTTCTTGTTCGGATTTATTTATTTAATGCAATATTTATTATTTTGGCTTTTGTTTTGGTGGGCAATGGCCATCTTGTGTTTGCAAAGACTCTGAGACATGTTGATTGCTGTTACCAAATAAATAATGGGTGTTCTGTAATGCTGAAATTGCATTTTCTCACTGTTCTGGGTTTTTTCTCTTTTTTTTTTTTCCTTTCTTCTTTTTAGACCCAGTACAAAATGTGGTCCAGATTTTGGAGAAGCAGTACTTGGAAGAGAAGCGGAGCGCTCTTGAGGAGCAGCGGCTGATGTATGAACGTGAGTTAGAGTTGTTGCGGCAGCAGCTCTCTCCAGAAAGGCAGCATCAGCATGGCAGCGACAGACTCTCCTACACTGCTCAGACTGCACAGCAGAAAGTAAATCTCTGGACAGAAGAGAGGTGAGAATACTGGAGTTAAAACAAAGGAATTAAGAACTACAAAGGGTGAAAGATGGGACTTGAGCCATTTGTCAGAAACTTACAATATTTTTTGGTAGAGTTGACATGCAGTACAAGATCTGCCTGTACCAAAGTATGAGCATTTCATTTAGGACTAGGTTCTGATGCGTAACATGTGTACAAGATCTTCCTGTTTGATTTAATACACAAATGAAGAATGTAGCTTTTATTGATAAGCATTATAGCATTTTTTTTGTTGTTGTTTTTTTAAACTAGAAAAGTGCTTCTGAAATGTTTGGTTTAGTGATTATTGTTTTCAGTTACTTCTGGAAAGAAAGGAAAGGGTAGTGCAGAGGTAAATTTGTCAACTCAAGACTACTAAGGAGTCCACTAAGGAGTATTGTGTGTTGAGGGTATACAATAAAGAGCATGGTATTTTGCAATCTAAAACCATAAAAAAACCAGAAAATGCAAGTCCTTAAATGTTGTATGTACGTGTTTCGAAAAGTAAGCCCAGCTTTAGAAGAGGATTGCTGTGTATTGGAGAACTGCAGAATAGTCAAATAGAGTATGTTTGAGCTGTTTAGGAAGTAAAAGGCTTGCCGTGAGGTGAAAAGGCCTCTTTACAAAGGAATAGCATGGCACCTGAATGCAGCCTTGGTGAAAGATCGTCGTGAGATTTGCAGGGGGAGTTTAAAACGCTGACTAGGAAGATGTGAGTAGAGTTTAAGCAGCACGTGTGTGTTCGCATCTTGACAATGGGAGAAGCTTGCTCTTAGTATCATCGGGGGGAAAAGGATGTCAGCTCCATGGAGAGAAGTTCTAGGGGCAGCAAGCGAGATGATTTAAGTTTTCAGCATACAAATGAGTATTCTGTCATTGGCTTAATACAGCAGGAAGAATGACTAGATGTACTAACAGGTTTCTTGTGAGTTTCTTTTTAATCTATTTTCTTTGAAAACAGAAACTTTGTTATTCACTCAGCCTTTTTCCTATATGTAGTGAGTTTGAGTGCTCTTTCCTATTTTGATTATTTTTGCTTTATTCTCCGCCATTAAAAAAAAAATCCATGTACAAGAGGAGTCTAAATGAAGATAGCCAAGATTGTGTTGCAGCTTTCAAATTCAGAGTGTTAGAAATAGAACAGAACAGATCTTGGTTTTGTGCAAGGTTTTGTTTTGTACTTTCTGCCCACTTTGGTCTGGGGAAAAACCCTAAACAAATAACAAACTGTTGACCAGTGATGACTAGAATGTTTTCCATGGCAAGTACAGGGGGAAGCGTGTTTCAGCTTTAATTAAAATAATTGTTTGCCCCATAAGAGCTAAAAACAGAATCACTGGGAACTGAATGTAAAGCATTGCAGAGTCATAGTTGGGATTTGCAGGCTCTTTTAGGGCTGCAGAAGGAGTGCAAAATGAGAAGCACGCTAGTTGGAATCACTGCTATTCAGAACTGCTTTGAGCACAGCAAGGCCAGCAAGAAATCATTGATAACCCACTTCAGTAGCAGAGATGAGATCCGGGCTTACTGGCAAGGGAAGCCATACCTCTAAAAAGTGCAACAGAAGGGAAAAGGAAGGAGCAAAAAAATTCTTGCCTGTCCTTGAGAGTTGAGAAGAAAAAATTGTAACTGATCAACTTAAAATTAGCCAACCACCACAATCCTGTAATGACATAAAAAATGAGAATCTGGAGTGGTATCAAGGCTAAGTGTTCTGCCAGCCTTCTCTTCTCAATAGGTGTTAGACATTTCTTAGGAGGAGCTGTGCCTTGAACAAGCATTTTTGCCTCTGGATTTCATGGGTAAATGCTTTACTCATACAGAGTAAGCTGTTGAACTACTTGAAGACTGTACTTTGCTGCATTGTAAAAAAGAGGAGAATGAATGCTCTTTGTAGCTATCAGTAAGGAGTCTGATAATGTTTTGGTGGCACTGCCATTGAATAAGCAGTTCTGGAAGAACTAATTACCAGTTTCCTGTCCTCCAGAAGATCCTCTTAGGTATACTTTTTATTTATTTATAGTTCTAGAAGAGGTTTGGGCTTCTGAAAAAAAAGGGCAAAAAATTTGAATCTTCTTAAATAAGAAACCAGAAAAAAATCTTTGAGGGATTTCTGCTGTAAAAGCATGGCAACATGGTGCTGAGAAGGTGTTTACTGGCCAACTGGCCAGAGGGCAAGAAATGCGGGGAAAAAATGGGATGACTGGATGTGAAGAACGTGCAAAAGAGCCAAGTGTCTGGATTGCACGGGATTTGATTAGTGCAGTTTTAGCTGTCGCTCTGTTGCCATTGCAAATGAAGCTGAGTTCTACCGGATCGGCCAGCAAAATTAATTTGATAGGTATCGGATGTAGGCACGTGGTTGTATCTGTCAGATCAGCTAGAACACATTGCGCAGAGTTTATTCCTGCTTTATGCTGGCTATGGAAGGACAGATGATACCTGACCTGGAGTTAAAACCTGCTGGCATGAAGTTAACCCGTTGTAACTTTGAACAAATTTAATTTGTCGGGGTGAGGCAGGGCGGTGGTGTACTGCACCACAGGTTTAGTTCAGCATATTCCGTAGTTGGCATTAGGAATCGCAGAGACTTGCAATGACACCTTGTGAGTGTCAGATGTTAAGTTTCCCTAGTGTTTGGCTTAAATGATTGTTTCAGGATTTCATGTTCAGTGGATATTTGCTTCAGTTAATATCCTGATGGAGCTTGTTGTATGTTTTGTGTAGGATTTCGTAATTCTTACTATCTGAAACATTTTTTTTTTTTTGCTTAAGTTTCTGGAAGGGTGCTGGCACAGCTATATAAAGAAAAACACGACTGTAATCAGAACTACCCATAATAATTGGTCGAGTTACTCATAAGTCCTCTTTATAGTGCTAAACCATTCCTTTCTCAAGAATCTAGCTAAGGCAAGATTGGTGTGGGAGCCTCCCCGAAAAGCTCACCAGATGGCCGTTGCCCGGATCGAGGAAGGGACTGGCTGTAGCTCAGTCCCGTGGCTTGTCCAGCGCTTACAGATCAAAGCTGCCTTCTGTTTCTCAAGCTAGGCAGCTGTCTTGCAGTGGTTGCAGGTGTAATGCACTCTCAGTATTAAGTACTATTTAGTGAGTAATTCTTGACTCTACCTTCATCTCCTGGGTGAATCCAAAATTATAGCTGTCTGTGGAATGTGTCACTCCCATGGTCTGGAATTGCTCGTTTAATCTTGATGGCCCGGATAACAGAAGCAAGAGGCAGAGAGAAAGGAATTTTCCGTATAATGCCGGGAGCAGATACGGGGGAAGTGGACTAAAAATCCGAGCTGTTTATGATCCAACAAAACCCACCACTGTTACAAACTTAGGCCAAATAGGGGAGAGAGACAAAGCTGCATGTTTTAGCATGTTGAAGGCACTAAAGGTCAGGGCTGCTTCTAACACTGCTGGTCGTTTACCACTTTGGTATGGTGTCAGGGAACCAGCAGAGTGCAATTTGAATTACCCAGCTGTTCTTTGTGATATTTTGAAAAAAGATAGCCACTCAAGAAGAATTCTGTTGGGGACTGAAAGGCATATTAACAGCTGTTTGTGGTTTGTACTATAAAGACATACAAAAGATCTAAGCTTATCTGAATAAAAGCAAATAGGCAAACTTTGCCTGTATTCACAGCAAGGCCCATGAGTTTACTTGTTCCTCCTATGCTTGTCCGTAATGTAATGTATTTTGCAGAAATTAGAAGTGTATGTGCACAACGTGTACTGTATTTCAGTAGGACTTTGCATAGAAAAGCTAAAAAATCATACAGGGGAGTGCTGGTCACTGAAATATCTGAAGTTTGATCATGAGTTTTATGAAGATGATGAGATGCAGTAAATGCTGTTGGGATTACAAAGAAAAGCAGAAAGGGGGACTTCACATTTGCCCAGAGGATAATTGTGATACTTTTAAAAGGCAAATTAAAGATGAGAACCCCAGATGAGAGCGTATCTTAATATTGCAGGTGGAGGTATAGTATGTGTCATAGCAGGTTTGCCAGGTGTTATGTTAGAACAGATTTGCTCAGACAGGCCCTAGAAACCTTTTTGGAATTTGTCCCGAGACTGTTAGCTGTACGGAGTGCACAAGCTTTAACCTGTGCTCATTCACCTATTACTTAAAAGGTACTTTGGGTATATAGGACTTAAGTTTTTTTGGGTTTTTTTTAATGTGTACACTTGAGATGGCTTAAGTATAAGGAGGGAGGTCTTGGGGGTCTGTAGCACTGCAGAATCTTTAGCTGTGATGTAAAGCTGTGGCCTGCAGTGAT